TCCGTCCATTGACCTATCCCATGGATGTATAAGTGCATTTGATTCTACAACATGCCATGATTCCTCATCGGAGTGCATAAGGGTGGTCCTATAGGAGTATTGCTCGGTGTTTACTTCTGCACGCGGGTCGAGGAACTTCCCTTCACAGGGGCTGTACTTGACCTTACATTCGGCGTAATCACACCACCCATCACTGATCCCGCTTCCGATGAAAGCTAACCAGCCCTGATTCCAGACTGCTCGGGCACCGGATCCTCGGAGAACTGGTCCCTTCGGAAGAGTGGTGTCTGATGTCTCAAGTGTTTCCGCCTTTGGGTTTGGGACGGCACTCTCGACAGCATCTTGGACCTCAAGGACTGTCTCGACTTCCTCTTCGGCCGCGTCAGCGATCTCTCCTTTGCGAACCATTTCCTTGCGATCCTTCAGTGGGAAGGTGAACGGTTCAGGTACGTCGATGCGAATGACTCTTTTGATCTGATGCATATCCTCGTATTTATCTGCTTTGGCCGACTTGAGATCAACTACGAAATATTCTGTCCTCCATTGAAACCCTGGGTGAACGATGTAACCAACGAAGACCCCTGCACTTGATGTGGGATCGAACCTCAGCTCATCTTTGGGTTTCTTTTTGGGACCATTCCAGTAGTTCACCATGCACCCAAAAGGCCAACACTTAATAGGTGATTGTTCCCCGAATCTTAGCTCCCATGGAGAAGCAGTTCCATCGAGAGCATACAAATTGTTGTTCATGACACACCAGTGACGTGCAGCATAAGGCCAAAATCCGTGGTTGAGACCGGATTGCAAGAGGTTCACACGAGTTCCTTCAAGCACGGTTCGGATCGACCTTTCCGCAACGGCATTGCTGGCGGATATGTATGCCTTTGACAGTACATGTCTCCACTTCAGCTCTTTCATGGCATTGATCAATTCAGGAGCGTTGTCGGAATAACAAATTCCCACTTCATCATCATTCGAAACAAAGTGTTTCATAGCCAGGATGACTGATTCGGCACTCTTTCTAGCACTGGGATACACATACATGAAGTTGGAATATATGTCTTTGACAATCAATGCACACTTCTCTTCATCGATTCCCATTTCATATTCATTTTCTCATCGATTCCCATTTCATATTCATCACCGGTAATGAGAAAATCACATGTAATGTGATCACCGAATTTCTTGGCTTCAACTATCGAGGACCCGTCTTGCCGATATGATGGAGGCTTAGTCATTTTTGCTTTATTGCAAACGTCACAATATGGGTTCTTGGGGTGATGACTCACCAGATGCCCAAGTGATTTAGCCTCTTTCTTCAACAATGATATCCCCTTTCCCAGATTCCTGTCCAAGTTGCCTTCGGCAGGTATCTGCGGAACATCATCATCAACATCATCCATCGGCGAGACCTTCCGGTCCGCTCTGCCCTTCGGTGCTTCTTTCTCTTTCTCCGGCGTAGCCTTCCGGCCCGCTTCATCCTTCTCTGGGCTCTCTTTCAACACATTCATCCCGTCATCACCCGAGGCCGATGCCGGTTCAGCAGGAACAGCTGTACCACGTCCAGGAGCTATGGGATGAAGAGACGTTGGAGCCAATGAGGAAGACGAAGTCGAGCGGGGATTGGCGTTTGACTTGGCCCTGGCAGGAATGTAGGGGACGTAATCCCTGACCACGAGCTCTATCTTCTCTCCGTCCGGCTTCCTAAAATAGGGTGGTTTGCCGGATCTCCAAATGAAATCATAACCTTGATCAACGCATCTCATTCCGACAGACATGACCGGTGGTGTCGACTCGAGCAAATACGGATCAAACCTACAACTCAATGTGTCGTTGTACACCTTGGCCTGAAGGTTCGATGAACTATGGCCATTAGCTGTGATGATAGCAATCGGCCGGTCCGATCGATATTGGAATTCATCAGGGATGTCATGTCGGGTCAACAGGTCCTGAGCGCTTCCGGTGTCTGCTATCCAGTCCTCATGCGAATGGTGGAAGTATTTGACTTCCGTCGGAGAGGACGCGGGCAACGCAACAATATCAGCAGGAATGCACGAGTCACAACCTAGGTCTGAATCACACATGTACCTACAGTCTGTTTTGATACCCTTCAGCCAACCGGACACTGCTCCCTGAAGCATGCGTGCTGTCAAGATCGAATCATCAACTGCTTGAATGTTAGGCTTGGTCTGATAGCTTGCTGGGAAAGTCTTCTTCGGTTTAGATGGTTCCGAAACAAAAGGATCAAGTCTGCCCCATGCATGAAACCTTGTGATATCGGGCTTGAGGTTAAATGACACCCCTGGACATGCAATGTGTGGCTCGCCTTCCCAGGCCGCCTGGCTCTCATTGAAGTTGATTCCAATCTGATCCAACATGGATGTTGGGCCGCTCAATGAGAGGCCATCGACAACGGATGCGAGCATCGATGCAACCAGACAAACTGCTGCGGGAGTGGACTTACCTGCACTGCCCCTCGAACCACGAGAACCCTTTGAGGATCTAGAGCCTCCAGACTTACGCGAACCACTGGAGCCCCTCGACTGAGATCGGTCCCCCTTCTTCTTTCGACGTTTGTCTTTCTTGCTCTTGTCACTCTTCTGAGAATCTCGTGAGGGCGATCTTGCAGGAGTTGCCTTCCTGGGTCGTTGCTGACCTTCATGGGAGAATTCACACTTGTCCCCTCGCTTACAGCGTCCAGCCTTCCAAAACTTGCATGCAATCTTTGAGGTGTCCCGTTTCTCCTTTCCTCTGGACTGGGAGCGCCCCCTAGGACTCTTGGTGGCACTCTTCTCCCGTTTCTTAGGAACTTCATGCTTGAATGGGCAGTTCTCCTTGCTACAACCCCCTTTGTTCCACTGAACACAAAACCCCCTGGGGATGAATGGTGTGCGCGCGTCGGCCGCAGGGGCGGACGTCTTGGCACCTCCAACACTAGCGGCAATCCGTCCCCGATTGTCCTCTAGCCTTTCCCTCATGAGATGTCTGCGAACAGCGTCATACAGGAATTGATAGCAGTGCTTTGAACTTCCCTCTTCGGCCCGGTGGTACTCCTCTATGTCATGGGCGATAGCCCTGTGATTCTTCACTTGTTGGTAGAATAGAGTTTCCAGGACTGTGGTTTCAGGCAAATGAGTAACACCGGTAGTGACTGAGTCCCAGTTCGTCAAGAAAGTCTTGAGATTGTCGCCCTTCATTCTCACATTGAACAGATCACTGAGGGAGTAGGTGGCTCCATGTTTGATATTTGTGCTGAAGTATTCATGCATCATGAGTAACACCTGTCTCCCCCGTACCGGACGATCTTTCTGGGACTCCTTCTCCTTGAATGTGTCAACCTTGCGTGCGAATTCACCTGTGGCGATGGATGACAGTGCGGCAAGAAGCTTGGCATCAAGGGTAGTGAACCCGTCGGGACTTGCCAGACCTTCGATAGTTTGACCTTCAATCCAAACCTTGTTGATCCAAGAGAACGCTTTGTCAGGCTTGGAAGATGCGGCCCTCACCGCGTCCCTCACCCTGATTTTCCAGTTGCGATAGTTCTCAGGTTGTGGAAAGGAAGGTATCTTGATATGGTCAGCTTCCTTCGTGGTACTATTCTTTCCCCCCAATACTTGTTTGAGCTTCCTCATAAGAGCCTTGTCTGTCAATTCATCGTCATCATCGTCAAACTCATCCCCTCCGTCTGGATCGCTGTCATCCCCCGGAGGTCCAGGTGGTCCACCCCCCGACTTAGGAATCTTGAGAAGCGGAATGCCTGGACGCCCAGGATTGATCGGGTCACCTGATGAACGACCTCCACCAGGATTGTCTCCTCCCCCTCCTGGCGGTCCACCACCACCATTACCTGGCCCGCCCCTTCCGAGGTTGCCCGACAATGCATGTGCTGCTAATGACCCGTACCCATCATTCCAAGGACTCACCGGTTGGAAAACTGCAGCGTTAGGGGAAAATACGCTTCCGGGTTGAGACTTAATGGATGGAGTACCGAACAATTCAGCAGTTCTAAATGATCTAACATCATCGTGCTGGGACAAACCTGCAGGTGGTGCTTCATGCATTGGTATGGACTCACGAAGTTCAGCAGCTCCTTCCGGAACGCCCGGCGCATCATCCTTCCGTTGCTTCATTTCGCGAAGCTCCTTCAGGAGTTGTGCCTGGATTGATTCCGTCTCAGTTAGCCGCCTTTGCAAATCCATAGACGCTTGTTGTTGCTGCGCCAAGTTCATCTCAAGGGATGAGACCTTCTGACTCTGAATCATTTCGATTCCAGCGATATGCTGACGGTGATTCATGGACATTTCCATGAACTGAGTCTGAGCCTGCTCTTGTAGTGTTTGATATCCAGCTTCGGCTGCGGTGATGAATAACTTCGCCTGGATCCTCATCTCCTCATTTTCAGAGAACGCTTCATCAGCCTCGTTTCGGAGTCTCTGTGCTGCGAGCATTAGTTCTGCTCGTTGCCCCTCAAGTTGCTGATTTTGCGTGGCCTGGCGCATCATCTCCGCGAGTACAGCTGGAGGCGTGCTCACAAAGGAAAAATTGGCCTGATTGAAAACCGGCGCGGTGTTCCCACCCGCTCCCCCTCCGTCAGTTGACATGTTGGATCCTCCGTCTGGTGTGAACGAGACGCCCGGATCCATCAACGGTAGATGGAAAGCGGCGGGGTTTCCACCCGCGCTCTCACGCCCATCCGCACCATTGTACGGCGCAGCCAGCCTCGCGAGGGCTCCTGAATCCAGAGATAAGTCCATGGCTGCGAATGACGCGGGAGCAATACTACGGGCCTAAGGCTATACGGCTGATAACCTATGTTTACAGGAAACCAGCCAATATCGCCCACCTTTTCACTTGAGCCAAAGATCGATGGTCGAGAGGTATATAGTACATAGAATACGTGGAACACTTAGTAAAAACAGTTTGAGCCACAGCCAAGTAGTCCTTCCCAAGAATCTTGAGGATCCTACACCAACGACCAAGTTCTGACCGCTCACGGTCTCCTCAGCATGAAAATGCCGGTCCACGCAGCAAGCAGGACGGGGCCTGAGAGCCAACATCCAATGACCTGAATCGAGAGTCTGAAGCCCTCGACGACGAAATGACCATCTGCCAATGAACACCATATGAAAACCCTTCTGAGAATCGTGAAAAAACACACACACAAACAAGTGGATCCAAATCCGATCATACCAGCATTAAACATGATTAAACCAGTCTCAGTATATGAAATCACACCTGAAACTGGTAGATTGAACCAGTGGGTCCTTGGGTCGTTCTGAACCACGTCTGATGCTGCGGACCTGCGTCACAAACAGAACAAGTTTAATGAGCGCTTGCTCCTAGACCAGTGGTTGCTCTCCCTGCGCATAGGGGTGGCAAAAAGGCATCACAGGTTGCTCAAAGCGACCTCTAACTGTGAGCAAACAGCCAACATGTGTACTTTGTTCACTCCTCGGACTGCATTGGCACATTGAGATCGTCTAATCGTGTATATAATATCTGCAATGGCCAGCTAGTTTGGGAGCGCAAGAAGCAAAGCCGAGATGTTAGGAGGTGTGTCTATTCTCTTCAATGCCTTGCCTGTCGGTCCCTGCTTCGTTGCGAGCTGCATTTGTTCTAATCTAAGCCCGGAGATTGAACATGGGCCATCTGTGCGGTTCATATGGCAATGCATCTGAGAATGACAAACCATGTCCAAAACCTGTACAGTACCAGCCAGCCGAAGCACGATGACTGTAGGTTTCAGCCCAGCGAACAGCGCCATGGCAGGAAGATGGGCACGTTCGACACAAGGTTTAAAGAATTGAAACAGGGAACGACGTGTAAAAACCATGATAGCCAGGAAGATAGTTGAACAAATCAGGGTGCAGGGAAATTCAAACTATCTAGACTCTAGACTGTGACTGGCTTAGTTTCTTGAGGTGACATCCTAAACGGCTTGCTATGGAAGTATTGTTGTATTGTTGGCCACCTTGGACCAAACATACTCGGCTCTTTTTGTTGCATGCTCGGCTCGGCCGGCACCAACACCATCGGACGAAAGAAACCGACCCGCGGCTCGGTGTCTCGGCTCGGTGTGACTGGCAGGGGGCGTTCTCGACCAAAAGGGACCTCAAAAGACACCGATGGAGATGGGATCAAAGTAGTGAATGACCAGGTAGGCAAGGGTCTTGAAGAATGAAGGAGGGGGCAAGGCCTGGAGCAAGTGAGACAAGTTGGTTGCCCATTGTTGCTGGTTGCTGGGAATGATGAGGTGGGTTACCATTGCATCCACACATGGTGTCACAAGATCAAACCTGCATAATGGAAAGCTGTTTGTGTGATGTTCGCAACCTGGAAGGAAAGCATGAGACTAGCAGCTAGTGCCTTGCTCTTGCCTGGCTTGCTGTGCAAACAAGTTCTTCCCCATGGGCACACGAATCCCAACATGCACAAAAACGACATAGAGGAACACGGGGGGGGGTGACAGGAGCATTGCCCCTGCCATGCTCGGGTCTCATGATCTCATACAGTATTTCTTTGGGTGTTCCCCGGTGTGCCTCCAGGACGACCAGGGAAGGCACTTGTCCCACACCGGGTATGATACCGGATCATGATCAACTCCCTCATCCGCACAAACACTCGGCCGCACCTCATCTGTGGGCGGGATGCGGACCACGCGCTCTGGCGGTGAACGAAAAGGTTGGCTTGGAGCAACGGCTTGTCGGATGGCTACCATCAACCATAATACGAAAAAAAGGCATCTTGCTATCATACTCACTGGATGGCGTAAAGGCTTTACAGGTGCAGCAGAATGCACACATAAACACTGCTACCACGATCTGCCTTGATTGTTGATGCTAGACTACAGGAACCGATCTTTCCACTTGACATGCTGAAAGACGTGCTGAACAAATCTATCTATCTATCTATTGCACTTCCACGCAGTGGAGTTCGGTCACCGTGGAGAAAAGAGAAATCAGTGTGTTCGAGTGAGTAGCTTCACAAAACTGCCACTGGCCAAAGCATCGAATGCCCACTGGCAATCCAAACTCTCCCATCTCCAAATCTGCCAAAGCGGCATTGGGCCGAGAGCAAGATGAGCTGGGCCTGGCTTGCTGGGGAGGTGTGTTACTCATCAAACACGGTGTTGCTGTGGTGGACAGACGTGCGAAGCGTCTGACATTAACAACGTGCGTATTTCAAGTGCATACATGATAACCACACCGCTTTTCGCTCATGGCCTGCATCGAGTGACTGGGTGGAATGGCCACAGAAAGAACACGACGACGGGGACGGGAATGGTTCTGTTCATCGGATCTTCTCAGAACGATCATGGAAGTAGGACATGGCTTACACTCCCTGAAGACATCATGGTTCCGTGGATGGCCCCATTGGCCTTGGACCACCATGTTCCGAATACGAAGGCGGTGCGACTTCCACTTCCATTCAAAGGGCGGAATCCGATGAAACCGACCAACAAGGAAGCATGCTGCGACCACTCTAGCACGCGCCTCGCCTGGTGCTCAGTGAGGCCAGTGAAGCCATGGGATCCAACTGTGGCGAACAGATCCGTCGTGTTCACCATGTCGCGACGTCAAACGCCACGTCGTGGCAACGTCAAACGCGGATTTGGTTGCGGAGTCTTGTGGGAACATTCCGATGTTGAGCAGATTCGATAAACCTTATGACTACTTTCCTGTTCTAGATAACTCAACATGAGCTCAGTCAGTTGGATTTATCGTAAGCTGGCAAAGTAGGGTAATAGAGACTGAAACAAAACGAACCCAGCAAATGCAATTGCAGCCTGCTTGTCGTTGACATCAAAACATGCACCTTGGCGGAAGAAGCATGTGCTCTTGGACAATTTGCAAGCAAGTGGTGATCACATCGTCATTCAATGCTCAGAATCACATTTATGAAATTCCATATGATTGAACTCCATGAAATATATACAGTGCGCTTTGCGTAAACGTTTAGAGGGCATGCCGCCATCAAAACAAACTGCACTCCTTCATCTCCATGTTCAATTCCATAAGGTCTCGGTGTTCGCGGGTCGCGTTGCGGGGGTACCAACATGCATCGCTTCAATGGCTTCAATCAGCACGCCCCATGCTGGTTATATACTGAAATCGTCAGGATTGGCAGTTGCACGCAGCAAATGTCTTTGGCAGTTGCTGCCAATTTGCTGCCATGTGTGTGGAGAAGGCTGAAAGGAGATGGAGATCAGCGAACGATCCATGGAGATGCAATTTGGGTGACGCATCCGGATTTCTGCACCTGGTGACGCTTCTTAGAATGACGAACACAGTCCGTGGTGGCTCCATGGACTCCGAGTTCGGATGCGGCCATGGTTTTCTGAGCCCTGGACATCTCTTAGGCATCAATAAACATAATAAACATGGTGTAAGAATCCAACACTTAGCACTTGCCCACTGGTTTTTCACCCGTCTTGATCCATTCCGGCTTTGACCACCAGGCTCAGTGTCCAGCCAACTTCCTGGCAGAGTCGTGGGAAAAAGGCATGACCCCGTGGCAGGCAACATGACCCGGAGACCCTGCAAAGAAACATGTTACCTGGAATGGAGGGACCCACGAGGATTTTGTGCCACGTTTTGCTAACAGTTCGCCAGGTAGCATATTCCTTACCGAGTCGGGTTGGATAACAGGACTGAACCCAAGGGCGTCATCAAAAATCCGCTTAGACAAAAGGGTGTCTAAAGGCAAGGTCTCTTGTAAATTGACGCCCAAGGTCAATGTAAGGTTGGTAAGGTCGGAATAGTTCGTTTTTGCTCTAAATTGTTCCGTCAGTTGCACAAAAGGGCAAGGGTGGAACTATGATGAACTGTTCCTCACTTTGTCCTGAAGTGGCCAAACAGGGTGTAGGCCTCATCCTCACATCTGTCCTTTGTTTCGTGGGACCTGCGTGGGGTTCCACTTTCGGGTGATGTGGGTGCATCCCAGAACACCAAAGTAAGAAGGGCAAGGATCAGGGACCAGGAGCAAGGGGATCAGGAGACCAAAGGACCAACCCAAGGGAACCAGTGGACCAAGGGAGCAAGGGAGGGAAACCAAGGAACCAACCATATGTTTGATACATGTTGATACTGATCGATGCTTATCATTCGATTGAATTATCCTATTTTGGTTGATGCTAATCCCGGCCAACATGCAAAAACTTAAAGAATTCAGAAGGCCGGATCTCAACAGGAATCTGGCAGGGGTCTGCCTACTCCATTGCCCTTCCCAATGTCGGCTCACCACAATTTCTCTTTGGCATCAGCAGCGTGAACATGGAAGGAAAAGTGTGGGCGGGGGTGTGCAAAGGAGTTATGCAAAAGTTGAACTTGTATTCCCCCCAGGGGTTGCTCCCGTCTTCATGTAGGAATGTTGGCCCTGTGCCATGAAAAAGCCAGTGCTGTGTGAAGTGCTGCATAGCAAGCCTTGCCCCTCTTGAATTCCAATATTACAAACAGGAAATGTTTAATCTGTCTTTTCTTCATTACTTGGGTCAAAGCCTGCACCAAACAACCCAAGAAATGTTCTTCAGGTCTGGACCTATTCTTACAGGTGTATCCTGATCATTCCTGATCTCTGGCTTGACATTGCAGGTCGCTCCCTGCCACATTGAACATTTTGTGCCAGGTCAGGCCAAAACACACCAAAACCTTAAATGATTGTCGGATGTGCTGGGGTGCTGACGTTTGCTGCTGTCTTCATGCGTGGATGGTGAGGCCCTTTGTCACTGCTGTCACTTGTGCTTCCTGTTTTGCAGGCTTTTTGCATGAATGTGCTACTAGTATGTGGGGTCCTGCATTGCAAGCCCCTTGTCCTTGTCTTGAATGACATCATAACGAAAGAATACAGTACATGCTCTTTTATTATCATTGCTTGGATTCACGATGACACGCTAGGTTAAAATGACTTTGATTCTACTCCCCCAGGATGTGTCAACATCTCAACTCGTATGGCCAAACTGTTCCGGAGTGCCAGGGGTCCATCATGAGGACCCACAAAGCTCACCGATTTTAGCAACTCCTTTGGGAAGCACTAGTCTGCCGTCGACACAATTAGCCAATCAAGTCTCCTGAAGTTTAAGGCCGGGCAGGTCGGGTACCTGGCTAAAATGACTGTTTCAGCCTGGGGTCAAGCCATCCTATTTCAGCCCTCTTGGCCAAACGGCAAAAAATATGTGCGATAAGAATAGCAACAATAATTGCTAATGGCAATAATCAACAATCATTAGTGATACTTTAAAGAATATACAATATACATATTTACTATAATGTATAACACACACATGACCAACTCATACCAACTCCTTTCGGACCAACGGTCTTCGGACGCCTCTTCGATCTCCATCTTCCGTAGCTCGGGCGAGCCTCGCCGACCCACCTGGGTCGATCCGGACGAAGCCGGTCGGTGCGAAAGACGGAGACGGTCGGAGCTGTATGGGGGCCCAATATGAAAACACCGGGTCTAGGATGGTCTAAGATCGAAAACTGCTCAATCCATTTCCAATTCCAAAGAATGAAACCGATAGCGGTACATCTCTCGAGGATTTCAAAAGGGGTGTCCAAATGAACAAAAGATCTTGAGACACGGCACTCGCCAAGGAGACTCCAGAAGACTCTACTCGTTGATACTACAGTCATCTACAGTCCAGTATTTTCTGGGAGCGCTGGAAGTAGAATCTGTCTGGGGTCTGGGGCATTCTGGAAACATTGCAAAGAATTGAATGCCCAACGTCCATGTTGGCTCGTGGATCGCACATGTAGTATATAATGACTTGCCAACTCCGCATTGATCGAATCGAACTCATACAATTCGGAGCACAAGGTTTGCCAAG